ATTAGGGGTTATTTGGGATGGATTAGGATCCCCTCCCATCCGTATTTTGAATTGGAGGTGGAGGGTGTTGTTTGGGTCCGTAGGGCTTATTACAGGTATTATTTTGATGATTCAAACCATTTATTTTGTCAGACAATTCATCTATTTCATTCAAAAAAAAAATTATATCAATCCAATAATTATAACTTATTCAATTTATTACATTTGTGATTAAAAAAATGTGGTTTATTTTTATAAACATAATTATTGTTTTTTAGTGAAAATTTGAACAAATTACAATTATCAGATTAACCTAATTTTTTTTATAGATGCAATACATGAAGTGCCTAATAAAATGAACAGTATGAATCGAAATGGGGCCCGTGGTAGGCCTCACATGCCCAAACAATGCCCTTAAGTCCAAAATCCGGAAGGGATCCTCATCCATTTGGGATGATGTAAATAAGTATATTTTTTGAATTTTTTAAATGAAAAATGTGCAAAAAAAATAAAGATATGATATGATATAAAAAAGATAAAAAAAAATAAGTGCACTTTTGTAGTGCATCCTAAATAGGGATGGCCACGAGACGGATTTGAAGCGGATTTGTCATTCCCTACCCCAGTCCCTGCGGATAAACCTCACTCTCGCCCCACCCTCGTTACAGATGAAATTTTTCAACTCCATCCCGCCCCCGCAGATACTCGCGAATATCGGATACCTATGGATACCCGACCATATTTCAAATATTCAAAAAAATTGAAAATCATTTAAATACTTAACACACTAAATAATTTTTCTTATTTCTATATATATAAACGGCGAGACTTTTCGAATTATTATTTATTTATATTTAAATAAAATCACGAACTTCTAATATTCATTTCTTATATCTAATTATATTGTATATATATATATACACATATATGTTATTTATTTATATATATTATTAATGATATTAGGTCAAGTTTGGATTGGGGGAGGCGATACTTGCCCCCGTCTCACCCCCGTTCTGAGTGACCAAAATATAATTCACTCTTCCCCTACATAAGTGTCGGATTGAATAAAATCTGCTCCATTCAAATAGGTACGAATACTCCCACAAATCGAATTAAAATGACCATCCTTACCCCTAAACAATCTCGTAATGTAAAGCAAGCCAAGAATGGAAACCACGGTGACAACAACATTATTGATTAGGGTCAAACCATCCAATGATGGTTGTGTTTAAGTCCGACGCTTATTCAATAGTTTCGGAATATGGATATGTGATATTTTTTAATATTGTGGTTAATAGAGAAAATAAGTAAGTGAGATATTATATTAAATGATTAAAAAAATAAAAAGGTATAATAAATAAATCAATCAATCTAATATATAACCAAATGTAGTGATTCCTTAAAAAATTCTAAATTCTCAATCCTAATATCTTATTATACTCTTTTCTAGGTGGCACGTCCACTCTTCTCTGATTCTATGTTCTTATTTTTTCTCTTTTTTATATATTTTTATTTCACTTTTTAATTACTTAGAATATATATATATATATATATATATATATATATATATATAATATCATATGGATAGGATATTTTTAAAATATTTATAGATAAAAGATGAGTTTAACTCTAATTCAAATTCATTCATCAAATTTATATCCTACTCAAAGATATTTCAAAAAAAAAAAACTTACTTCCATGACAATATGAAATTGGGCAAAAATATTGAAAAACAGAAGAACCTTGCAGAGAAATTAAACAAGTAATTTAACTAATTATGCAAGATTTTTCTTATGTGAAAGGTAACAAATGTTTGAAATCTCATATTATATTTTTTGCTCTATTTTTTCTCTTGCAGATTTTTTTTGTTTGTTATAGTTTTAATTTATTTGGTAAATTTAATTTTTTTTTCCTTCACAATCTAAGTTAGTTGTTGAAATTATAATAATGAAATAGATGCGTTTATGCCTCCAAAATTTATTATTCATTTTTTTAAAATTTTGCAACTACAACGTATAGAAAAAAAGTAGCAATGACAACGATGGGCTAAAAGACCAACACAAAGAGTGATATTTTCCGATGTAGTTGGAGTTCACACTTTTTTTAAAAAAAATTGTACCAATCAACAAGTGTATTTAGAACACATTCTCGAGTTTGAAAGAAGTTCTTGTTCAATCTCATTTATTTTTTATTGTTCTTCAATTATATTAATTTATGCATTCGATTTTGTTGTAGTATATAAGGAGAGCACTCAATTTAAATCTAGATGTAACTAAACGTTAATTATGTAGTAGACCTAAAATATTTTTGTTTATATTTTTTTTTATTATTTGAGATTTTCATGAGTTTAAATTTGTTTCTTTGCATATATGTAGTGAGTACACTAATTAAGTAGAACTAAGTTGTTAAATGATGGGTTTCTCTTTTGCAGTAAAATCCTCTTGGCAAAAAAACATTTGAAGCACAAATCCTTAATAAATATACAAATAAACTACTTTGTTTTCAACTCATAATACTCTTTATATATATATATATATATATATAACGAAAACAAATTATAGACAGGGTCATTTGGATCCATTCAAAGAACAAAAACTCAATATACATATTTTTTACTTGATTATTATTTAATAGTTAATTTCAATTACATTATTGAATGTCATGTAATTTTTTTAAACAGATTGGATTCAATATGTGAATACTTCAATAAAAGTTTGGTTAATTTCTTATAAACAAAATTATTATTCAACTATGTTTGCGTTGAAATTATAAACACATTACATATTAATAATCAAAATTTTAAAACTCAATTTAAATAAATATGTTTTATGTATTTAGACAAAAATCATAGGCAATAAATTTTTTTTCTATTATTGTTGAATTTTATATTCACGTGTCACTACTAGAGAAATATTAATGTCATTCACGTTCTATGCTTAAGACTTTATTATTTAAAATGAATGATTATATTATCATATAACATAAAGTAAAAATAAAAAAACATAACTAAGATGCTTAAAAATAAAAAATAAAAAGTGATGCTATTTTTTATTTATTTATTTAGTAGCTTCAAAATACGAAAGTTGTTGAAATTTATAGGTTATACACAAAACAAATTTAAAAAAAATAAAAAGGTCATCTTTGAATTTTTTTTTGTAATTAAATATCTTTAGAATACAAAAATTGTCAAAAATTATACGTAGTAGACACAAAAATAGAGTTAAAATTTGTATAATAAGATAACATAAAAGCTTATTTTTTAACTACCCAAAATTTAAATTTTAAAAACTTATAGATGGCATTTAACTCTTATATATATAATTTTTAACTTACCTTATTTTTGAGTATTTTTATTTCTTTTTTTTTTATAAATATTTAAAAAAATTATAGTTGATATTTCACTCTTATCTAATTTTTAAACTACTACTCTCTCTAGTTCTTCTATTATTAGAGTTATATTAAATTTTATTTTTCTTATCAAGTTTGTTTTATCTTATTTTTAAATTTTTAAATTTCAACTTTATTTTTTTTTTCAATCTTCATTTGATATTTACTAAATTTCTCTCTACCTCATTTTTCTGGGATTTATCTAAGTTTCTCTTTCTATATTCTTATAATTTATCTTCAAATTTACACTTGATTTTTTTTTTAATCTTTATCTTATATTTACAGGATTTATTCTTACTTTTGATTTTTAATTGAATTTATTCTTTTTCTAGAATTTATCTAATTTTCACTTTCTATATTCTTATAGTTTATCTTCAAATTCAAACTTAATTTATTTTTATTTATATTTATGGAATTTCACTCTTACCCTTCCTTTTTAATTGAGATCAATCCAATTTATTATTTAAGTACCTATATAAATTAATATCATAATATTTAGTTATTAATTTTTAACATATTTACCATTTAGGCATACATAGTACGGATTACTACTAGTAATAATTTATAAGAGAGTATGATATTATGGAATTATTATATAATTTCATGTTCAAGCCACAATGCTATGGGTCCACGTAGGCTGGATGACCCGCCAAACTCACTTAACCCATTTTTAATTTATAAAGTTTGAAATTATGGCTCCTCATAACGCCAAATTGGACAAATATTTTAGGTTGATATATAATTTGTGTTGAGTTAAAACACAACAATTATATAAAAGTGAATCTTTATTTAGATATAAAGATACACTGAAATATATAAAAAAACGCTCAAAGACACCTCACTCTTAAAATCACTCACACTCAAGCACTTGACTCTACTCTTAAAATCACTCACACTCAAGCACTTGACTCTACTCTTGATTGTTGTGTCTTGTACCTTTCAAATGAGGCCACTTCCCTTTATATAGTTATCTACTTCCTCAATGGATGGCTAGGATCATTTTGATCCAAGGGCTATTATTAACCTTCTAGAATATTCTACCATATACACATACTTTCCCATATTCTAGAACTCTCTAACTTATTCTAGTATAAAATAGTACTTTCTATACTTCTAAAATATTCTAGAACCTTCTGGAACCTTCTAGATTTCTCTAGATTTCTACAAGCTTCTCTAATGTTCCGAAATCTTCTACAATGTTCTAGAATCTTCCGGATTTCTTTAGATCTTTCCGAAGTCTTCTAGATTATTCAACTTATGCAATTAATAGCCTAGATAATTCTAGAAAAGTCAATGATGACTCTTACCACTCGCCCTCAGCATTGACTCATTTATTTAGTTCTTTTTTTGTAGTTATGCCGAGTTACTTCCGAAGCTCTACAAACTTTGAAGCTTTAAGTCCTTTAGTAAACAAGTCTATTACTTGGTCATCTGTTCTGATTGATTTCATCTCTCTCTCCTTGGAGCACCTTCTCTCGAATGAAATGGTAATGTACCTCCACGTGCTTTATCCTTACATGTAACACTAGATTCTCAGCCAGACGTATTGTTGACTAATTGTCACAGTGCAACAATACTCCATAATCAACTTGCTAGTGTAAATCCTTCATTAATTGCATAAGCCATGTGCTTTCTTAAGCTGCCATTGTTGTTGCTCTGTATTGAGCCTCTGTGGTAGATAATGATACTGTAGGTTGTCTCTTACTGCACCAAGAGATTGCTCCTAAACCAAGGCTGAACACGTACCCAGTAGTTGACCTCTGTATGTCATGATCTCCCGTATAATCGGCATCACAATAGTCAATTACCTTGCATGCTTCGCCTTTCTTGTACAAAAGACATAAGTCAATTGAACCCTTCATATATCGGAGTATTCGGCGAACTGCTTCTAGATGAGGTTTCTTTAGCTTTTGCATATACCGGCTTACTATACCAACTGCATATGTAATGTCTGGCCGAGTGAGGGTGAGGTAGATCAAACTACCTACTAGTTGCTGATACATAGTTGCATCCTCCAAGTCTTTACCTTCTTCTGAGCATAACTTGGCATTCATCTCCGTTGGTGTAGAAACTAGCTTGCACTCTAGCATCCCATACTTCTGCAGCAGATTTTTAGCATATTTTTGCTAGCAAAGGAATAAGCCTTTGTTACTTTGTTCTATTTCAAGCCCGAGAAAATGCTTGAGTTCTCCAAGCTCCTTCATTTGAAATCATGCTGACAAGTTCTCTCTTGTCCTTTGGATCTCTTCTTTATCATCTCCGCTGATGATTAAGTCATCCACGTATACTAACACCGTAGCTAGTTTTCCACCTTGAGATTTGACAAATAGGCTTGAGTCGGCTGGTGCCACCAAGTACCCGCTTTGTACTAGAAATTCTACTATTTTGCCATACCATGCCCTCGGCGCTTGCTTTAAGCCATACAAGGCTTTCTTTAATTTGCAAACATAATTTGAATGGACTTTGCTTTCAAACCCCTCGAGTTGCTCTATATATATATCTCGATCTATCTAACCGTGCAAAAAAGCACTTTTTACGTCCATTTGCCACAGCTTCCAAGACTTGCTGGCTGCAAGTGTTATTAGTACTCGCACCATTGTGATATTTACTACTGGACTAAATGTTTCATCATAGTTCAATCCATATTGCTATGAGAAGCCTCAAGCCACTAGACGTGCTTTGTACTTTTCTATCGATCCATCAGGACGAGTTTTTACTTTATACACCCACTTACATGATATCGGTTTCAGGTCCTCAGGCTTAGGAACTAGCTCTCATGTTTGACTCTATTTGAGGGCTTGAATCTCTTTTTTCGTTGCCTTCTGCCATGCTTTGCTTTAAGATGCCTTTTCAAACGTCGTTGGCTCTATAATGTTATCTCCTTCAGTCAGAGCAACATTTGCATACTTCGGATTAGGCTTAAATTGTCTTTCCGACCTTCTGAGTTTTGGTCCAATCTCTTTAACTCCTTCTTGTTGGCTCAGGCAAACTTCTTCTGGACTCTTGTGATGGACACCTATCTTCCATGAACTTGAAGATCTTTTTGGTGTCTTTAACAAGTCAAGCTCTAGCTCATCATCACTTTGTGTTGATACTGGCTCCTTGATGATTTCTAAACTAGGAGGTGTCTCTTCCTCTTCTCTTTGCTCTCCCAGTTTTTCTTCTAACTGATCTTCCAAATTTCTGGAGCCTGGCAATGGTACATCTTATGAAGACCACCAAGATGAGGCTTCGTTAAATACAACATTCCTCGAAGTATAGCAGTGGCCAGTCATGGGGTTACAACATTGCCACCCTTTCCGTTGACTGTCGTAGCCCATGAAGATGCAACGAATTGCCTTCTTATTGAACTTGCTACGTAGATGATTTGGCACAAATACATAGCAGACACATCCGAATACTCGAAAGTGACTTACTATGGGCTTTGTGTGCCATAACTTCTAGAAGGGTGAGACAAGCCTCAAACCTGCCTACGGTAGCCTGTTGATCACATGAGCTGTTGTCTTCATACATTCAGCCCAAAATTTACAAGGCACATTCTTAGCATGTAGCATGCTCCAACAAGTCTCTGCAAGATACATATTCTTTCTTTTAGCCACACCATTCTATTACGGAGTACTTGAGCAGATAAACTAATGTCGAATTTGGCATTCTCTAAGATAGTTAGAGAACTCATCTGATAAATATTCTTCTCCATTATCTGTTAGCAAGCATCGAATTTTCTTTCCAAGCTCGCTTACATATTCTTTCTTTTAGCCACACCATTCTATTACGGAGTACTTGAGTAGATAAACTAATGTCGAATTTGGCATTCTCTAAGATAGTTAGAGAACTCATCTGATGAATATTCTTCTCCATTATCTGTTAGCAAGCATCGAATTTTCTTTCCAAGCTCGCTTTCAACCTTCTTACGAAATTATTTAAACTTGGTCAGAACTTCAAACTTCTCTTTCATAAAATACACCCACATGTACCTTGAGAAGTCGTCAATGAAGGTCACCATGTAGCGCATTTCATTGATTAATGTTTGTTTTACCTGTCTGAAGACATCTGAGTGGATAAGCTCTAAGGGTTCCTTAGCTCTATACTTTGAATCTTCATATGGTAATTGATGCACCTTTCCATACTGATATCCAACACAAATTGTATCTTCTCAAATATCCAGTTGATGAAGGCCCTTAAGCATCACTCACATGACCCAAGCATGCATGCTAAAGGTCTGCAGTCTCATTTTTTCGAGTCTTATCTACATAGGCTGAATCTGCTGACATTACATAGATAGACTCCAACCGTCTTCCCTCCATGATAGGAGTACCAGATAACTTAACCTTCTAGTAAACCTTCACATTCTCTGGACCAAATAACACATAGTTGCCCGAGGATGTGAGTTGTGAGACTGATAACAGATTCTTCTTTATCCCTGGCATGTGATAGACGTACTGTAGATGTATTTTGTTAAAGTTGAAACGATGAGTGATGATTGTCTTACCAACATGGGTGATCGGCAGCCTTGTATTATCAGCGGTCACTATTACCCAGCCTTCTGTGTACTCGAACATACTGGATAGCTTCTCCTCGTCACCAGTCATGTGGTTAGAGCATCCTGAATCAATAATCCAATCATTGTTGTAGTTGATTGCTCTAGTTTTAGACTCCGCCACAAGGGTCGACTCATTAAGCTCAAACACAACCATACATACAACTACTTCACTAATGGTTGGACTGTGCTATTCTTGTACTTCTCGTGCATCAAAATCTATTTCTTCAAAGCAATCTATCTCATTAAAATCAAACACTGCAAAGGATTCTTGGAAGTCCTATTCTTTATCACTGTTGTATTGGCGACTTTTTTATGTCACCAAGTTACCTTCTTCTTGCCTTCTCTTTGAACAACAATATTTTGCATTAGTGACCTCTCTTTCTACATTTGTAGCACTCTATGTTACGCCGCCAAGGTGCTGAGGATCGTTGATCATGGTTGTTGCTGCCAGGTTGAGCACCCATGTTTGAAAGCTCCCATCATGCTGCTGTGATTTGGCATGTCCTTCATTTTTTGTTGGCCTTGTAGAGTTAGGTCGTCTTGGTCCACCATGTCATGGTCCACTCCTTCTATTATTATTACTGAAAAGTGCCTCATCTTCAGTCTTTAATGAGACCCCAGCCATTTGCTTGCATAAGCTTTCTTGATTGGCCAATAAATTCTCCAACTCTATAAGAGATGGTTGAATTAGCCAACCCCTTATAGCTGTGGTGAATGCATTATACTCGGGCCTTAACCCATGTATAAAGATCTTCCTCATTCTTTTCTCATTAATATTTGCTTTAGGATCTAGCTTTGAAATTTCATGACATAGATCCTTAATTTTTATGAAATATTCACTTATGGACTTACTTCCTTAAGTGGTAGACATCAACTCATTTTCTAGTAATTAGAGTCGAGCATCATTTGTCTTTGAAAACAGTAATGCAAAGGTGTCCTATGCTACCTTGGGTGTGTCATCATTCCTGATGCACCCGAGCAACTCATCCTCTATGGTTGTCTTGAGCACATACTGTGACGCCCCAAAAAAAATTTTTGAAACGTCATAAGATTTTAATTAACAATAACTTGCTAGATAAAATTTTAACTACTAGTTAGGAACTTTTAAGTTCTTACAAAGCCAAAGTCCAACGACAGAATAAAACTACAAGTTCACACACAACGTCACAACATAGTTTAATCCTAATACAAGGGATAACAGGATTTTATTCTGACAAAATATTGACTCTAAGTCAGCCAAGGTTCGATATTGGCAGCAGCTCCAATTTCAGCCTCAGTCGCTTCTTCAACATAATCTGGCATGAAACGCCAGGGCAACAAAATATATGCCATGAGTTTTGCAACACAGTAAGAAAACGTAACCAACCTATCAAGCCTTTGCCTAATTAGTTTCACCTTCTCGGTAGTTTCCTGAACTAACTCTGGCCCTAAAAGAGATGCTTCTCCGACTTCTGTCCAACATATTGGTGATCGGCAAGGC